GATGCCGTTAAGAAGGTACACCTACCCAGGGCTTCGGGCACACTGGCGTGACAGCAACGAGGAGGTCGACAAACTCACCACAGATGGCGCTTTTTTTTGAAAACTGTGCCAAATGAAGATTTAGTGCTACCCCGACATGCACGACATCTGAAAGCGAGAGCAGGTTTGGATAAAAGCCCACAGCTGCAAGGTGTCTAGAACTGTAGCCTCAGGAAACTCACAAAGTTTCACTTATCTCTAGTTGGTATAGTAAGAAGGCACTGTTGTTTTGGGTTAGGTACTGCCACCTAATGAAAGTAGCAGTAGACTTTGGAGCACATCCTGGGTGACGGTGCGCGGCTTAGTCTCTGAAGGCAGTCAGCAGCGAGAGTAGGTTAGCACAAGTTATTCCAGTTGACCAAGAGGTCTGCGATGTTCCTCAATACCGCTTCTGGTTTACAGAAATCAGCTATGCACCAGCCGCCATCGATTCGCCACTTACTAGTCAGCGAGTAACCAAAAACGAAATCAATGAGGTGCAACCAAACTCGCTAACGTCCATGGCTGCTTGTTGTTGCTTTCACATACAAAATTTGGATAAAATTTGGGCGAATACTTCTTTCATTTTCTGGATATTACAAGCCGACCTTTCTTCAATCGGGGTGTTTTACAGCGCGGCAGGAAACAAAATTCTAATAACATTACTGGAATAGCAGATAAGGTAAAAAATTTACCTTGGATACTAAATAGTTGATGCTGAATATTGTCATGAAAATGGGAAAAATTGAACGTATGTGGTTACTAATATTCGTCAATCGCAGGAACAGTTTCGCCCATCCAGGGCCTCAAGTACAAGCATATGCTGGGTAAGACTGACAGCGCTAGTTAAAGAGTCCACTCGGAGGGCGCACATGTGCATTATGATGCCCATGGGAGGATTTCTGCAGGCCTGTCTGGATTTATTGCGAAACCTAGCAGACCCCCTGATGGTGTTTTTACTAAGTTAGTTTTTCAAAGCAAAGCTGAAGAGGAACGCAATGACCGGTAGTGGGACTAATTTAAATGATGCATTTTTACATCAGAAGCGTTACCAATTTATAAATTTTATTCTTTTTAACTGAACGCTTTTTCTGATTTGCCGGTTTTGTTTGAATCTGTCGACAGTGCAAGACAGTGGATGACTGAAATTGGTTCGAAAATACGAGCATCCCCTTCCGATTCATTAAGAAGCCAGAGAAGTTTAAAGAGGAACAAATCTTATAATCTGCAGAAAACAAAGACGGCATAGCTTGATTGCTTAGGAAATCTCAGTAATTGCTTCTAATAAGTTTAAAACGACTAATAACGGCCTTTTAATAGCGCGTGTTTTGTTTAATATTATTTATCTTTGAATTATTATTACAAAAAAAAAAATATGTACTAGACTTGTTAGTTGTTCGTAAAAACACATGTACTGAATATATCAGTAAATTGTACTGCACATGTGGCTTAAAGGAAATTTATTTTATTTTATTTATTACTTACACTTCTCATACATATAGATATTAGCACGTACGCACTTTTAATAAGACAAAGCCGCTTAACCTAAAGTCTATAGCGTAAAATTAAACGCAGTATAATATTTTTTTTTATATAAAAGAGCCGTTTCGTTGCGGTTTACTTATAAGTCGCCGATAGTAGTGAGCAGTCAGTTCAGTTGGCTAATTGTGTTTAATTGTTATTGATATTTACTGGAGAGGTCCTGCTGTGAAAGTATTTAAGGTGGAATTGCTTAGTTGCTTTATAAGGTAACGAACGTGAAAGTGCATCTAAAACTTAAAAAATTGCGAAAAATTTATATTTTTATTCAAACAAATATTTCAAATGGATTTTAAGTGAATGGATATGCGTCCTAAGAAAATTTAACAAGGGATGACCAAATATTCCTGCCATAATCCAAATGATCCAAGTGACTTAAACAGCACTGATATAATTTGTTTGATCGTGGCATTAAGTATCTCAGCCGAAAAATGCTATGTATTACATATTTAACTTATTTTTCAGTTCAAATACAGAATTAAACTGTACTAACCTCAAGGTTCGCAAAATAGATTCGTGGTAATCCACAAACTTGAAAATGCTTCAACAACTTCCAAAGCTATGAAACTTATACCTTCAAGCATAAGGAGTTTAAGCGGGGCAACCTTGGGTTTGTGGTACATTTGTGAGACCCTTGTCTACGCTCGGGTCAGTATCTTTAGTGCGCGTGCCCAACTTCGTCGCCAATACTCCACCACTTCCATGTATAAATCATGTCCTCGTCTTGTAGACGGAGGGCCAGGAGGGGACTCTTTACCATAACCGAGAGAGTAGATAAGTACTTTGAAGTCATTACCCTACTGAACCAATTACTATCCCTAATAAAGCCGAGGAGATCCAACAGTTCTACCTCCACCATCTCTGGTAGACTGTTGAAGAAGCGTAAACGCAAGTGCCTGAGGTGCTTTGACTTAACACCCAGATATTGACAGATATTCCTTATCCTCATCATTGCAGCTTCGGGAGAGAGTAACTACTTCTTGGCATTCACCATCGTTGAGGTATTCCTGCTATAGCACAGTGTCCTCTGATGACATCGGTAAGGACTCTTACAGCAGGTCGTTTGGGTCTTCACTGAACTTCGTTCTATTTCATAGACCATTGTCGCTTTATTTTGATACGATTTTTCGTAATATAAATATCTGGGACTCTCTTGGGAAACATACAGTGCATCGGCAAGCACAATTCCATAAATATTATTCCCAGCCTTTCTACACAGTCTTTAAATTACCAGGTCTAGCCTTTAGACTTTTCTTGCCTGGTTGTCTTCTCGGTCCGTTTCCACTTGCGAATGCTCTTCTCCACTTTAGGATGCAGTTACATACTGCGCACTTCAAAAAGCCTTCTTTCTTTAGTGCATTAAAAGTTTCCGCTTTCGCTGGCCAGATCTGAGTCCGACTCGACAGCAGTACATCCTCTGGCTAACGTCTATGTTTTTTTTTTGCCGCATAACAACTACAAGGGCAAAACCCCGCTCCGGCAGAGGCGTGACCGCTAGTTACACGCAGCGGAGAATCAGGTCCTCCGCCGTTTCCGCTTGTGGTAACAGGGACTAGTTTCACCAACATTGAAATTCATTTATTCGATATACTTTCCTTATTTTCATTGTTCAGAGTCTCTCAAATTAGCGTTTATACATCTGTTTAGCTGAGAAATCTCGCATATCACCTCCATATAAGTAAGATTCTTGCCTTTGGACCCGAATAAAATTTAAATGCGGTCTTCCAACTACATACTTTCGCTTGAATTTATTATACTTTCGCTTGAATTTATTGCTCAAGAATATACCGCCCCACAAGACTGGTGGCTGCTGTAGCCAAGTGGTTGGATGTCCATACTACCACTCGGTAGGTACCATATTTTGAGATGGACCAGGCAAACTTGCCTGCAATATCTACCTATATCCCGCTTCATTCGCTTACTTCTGGCTCCATATATTGCCATTGGGGAAGTTTTTAGGGAAAAAGATAGACGTTTATTTGGAGAGTAATAACTTCTCCATCGTTCTTCGTCTAGTAATGTATGTCAATATAATGATTGAATCAACTGAGTGTGCATTCCCATTTTCTTCGTTTTAAAAATGTGATTGTTTGATTTTATCACTTTTGAAATAGGTTAAAAATTTACGATACAAAATATGTAGTGTGTTATTGAATGCTAGGGAAAAATCACGAAGAGAATGTGAATGCAACACAGATATTCCCAATCATCTTTATTGTAGATTTTGGTTGAATGAAAGCACTTTTGATCACTCAGTACTATACTGAAAAAATATGCCTTGGCAGTAGAAGAAAATCTTTATAGTTAGAAGAAATAGTCTGTTTGCTACTGCTTTTCTGCTAAAATTTGGTAAATCAATACCTCTGACTAAAAGCTTTCATTCATTAACTGTTCAAAACTGTTTTCATAACAAAGCTTTCCTAAACATCTTTATTTTGATATCCATATTGCAATATTTCATTAAGTTTTACTTTACTTTAAAACAGATGACAACCCTTTTCAAAATATTAGCCATATAAAGGTTTCTTAAACCTGTTTCGTTTGACATCCATATTGTAATACTTTCATTTAACTTATTAAATTATACTAGACTAGGCAACCCTTATAAAAAATTTTTCGTAATGGAATATAAAAATCAAGTTATTAGTTAAATTTAGTTTGCAAGCAAGTGGCAACCCTTTTTAAATATATCTGCGAAACAAAGCCTTCTTGTACATACATAAATAGTACCATCTCTTTCGACTGACATACATATACATAGTTAAAATTTGCTCTACCTACTTAGTAATTAAATTCAATTTGGTTTTTAAAAAGGTTGCCACCTCTTCAAAAATATTTGCAAAAAGATTTTCGAAATATGTAAATCTTTCTTGGGCCTACTTATTTCGTTCCATATTGCAATACTTTATTAAACTCAATAAAAACTGGAATTTGACTTTAAAACAGATTCCAACTATATATAAATAATTTTCTAAATTAAAATTTGTTGCACCTACGCATATACCACTTCACTTAACCTAGTTACAAAATTCTACTACTACTACTGCTACTTCACTTAACCTAGTTACAAAATTTTACTTTGAACAGGTGGCAACTCTATTAAAAAAAGTTTTCGAAATAAAGTTTTTTTTTTTTAATTTCACACGCTTTAGCATCGATATTGTAAAATGTCTTTGAACTTAAAATTTTGTTTTACTTTCAAAGCTGGTGGCAACCCTCTTAAAAAAATATCCAATATGTTAATCTAGATCATGCGATTTCCAGGTGCCAACTTTCATCTAAATCCGTCCAGCCGCTTTGGCGTGAAATAAAAACAAAACTACTCACACATTCACTTCCTCACTCACACATATTCGAATTTAAAATATTTGTTTATTTTTTAGTTAAGCTTTATATGGTTTTTATAATAAAATACAATTTGTTTATTATTTTTCAGTAAAAGCAGAACAAATTAAACAATGAAACGTGTCGCCTGTTGCTTGCTGTTGGTCGCTGCGGTTTTTGTGTCGGCGAGTGTAGCTGGGCATAGTGTCACTGAAGAAATTGGTAAGCATGTGCATAATTTTTACTAACATACAAATTTATGGCTTATTATTTTATATGCAACCTGTTTTTTTAGAAGCCAATGGTCCGGCCACTTTTGAGCAGGAGCCTATAGTCACAGATTCCACATTTTCCGCAGTCAATTTTTCTGGTTTTCATCTAGTAAAATCAGAAACCGAGACAGTAGGTGAAGATATACCATCACCATTAGGTAGGAATTTCAATTCCTTTTATTGATTTATTTTTATTTTTTGTGATGAAAACCTTCATGTTTACGATATTTTATTATATTGAAGGCGCTATGGTCTCTGTCTCGGATCTCACACACGCCAGTCCTCATATTTCTAGGGTTCATGTCATTAAATCAGCATCTGGGGAGGATGAAAGAGTGGTGGAGGTTATTGGCACCTGGCGTGGTGTGCTTAAAGGTGACCATATCAGTAAGTATTGCAGGTAAATGCAAAACGTGTCTGCGCAAATGTTAAGCATTTTCTTGTTTATTTTATTTTCAGTTAGTGGCGGCGTGAATACTACTACGACGCATATTTCTGAATCAACTGGGCAAGCTGGTATAGGTAATAGCAATTATAAGAACCATAGCTACAAAAACGACACCATTTTTTATGTATTACCATAACAATCAGAAACCTGAGAGCAACACTAATCGCCAGGCTAAAACTAAAAAGAAGAAATGGTCCCGGGCAATCGAGAGGGTGGCTTTCAAACGACCTCAACAAAAGTTGATCGCACTTCAGTTTCCTTTCCGTAAAGTTGAGTCTTTCGTCAGGCTTACCTGGACGGAAAGTTTATCTTTGCAAAGATACACTCATGGTGTAACCGTTTTCTTACGACAGGTATTACCAGACCAGCACCCTCCACATTAAGGCTCCCAGCAAGTGCAACAGTACTCTAAGGAGTGACACGATTCCTCGCAATTAGTAAGCATAGCCACAGTTTATCTTCTTTGTGCCGGCTATCTACTATATAGTATTTTTACGCTACTAAATCCAACAAATAGCCGCCACCTGTTCAGTAATGTGTGGCCTCCTTATAATAAAACCTCTTTCTGGATTAGTTCCTAAGCCATAAATTTTTTGGTACACTTCACTAGCACTCTGATCGCCAAAAGCGCTTTGTTCTCTGAAAGTGTAGCTATCGTAGAACTGGAGCTCTTGTAATATATAGCAACTAGAGGAGTAACCGGCCCTTGACGAAGATGTAGTGGGTGAAGTAGACATATCCAAATATGCTTAGTTTTTGCACGTTCTTTCGCGTGCACTTAAAGTTTCCAAAGTAATCGTCTTAGAATAGGGCCTCTGCGCATTAGAGGTAATGGTGTTGAGGAAAAGTCCTTCTAACTTTATTTCACCGCATGCCACTGATTCTATCTCTCATCCTGTGAGGTAAAGGATCATAGACAATCAATTGTTTCCTGACTCCATCCTCCTGAAAACCAGTGGTGGTTTTTCAACGCTGAGAGCGAGTGCATCGATATTTATCTGACCACACTCCTCCAGAAAGCGATTCTAGTCATTAGATAATGGTGATTTTTGGATTCCTGGGTTCTTGCAGCATACTACTTGCATTAAAATTAAAATTGCCATTTCCACTACCCTTGCCATCATCATCACCATTATCTTTAGCATTGACATTTCTGTTACTATTACAATTGCCTTAAACATAACCATTCCCAAAAAACATTTAGGCTGGAGATTAAGTGGAGATCTAATACAAATTCCAAGTTGTTTAACCAAAATGTTGTTTACCCACTTGAGTTATCATTGCAATTACCATTACCATTTTAGTAACCATTTTTATCATAATTACTATTATCAATACATTTATCATTACAATAATCATTACTGGTGCTACTAGCATTGCCATTACTTTCAATTACCACTACAATAAAGAGTACCATTAGCATTACCATTGACATTATGATTACTAGTACGATTACCATTACCATCACTACTGCCATTACCAATACCACTTCTATCACCATTATCATTTACATCACAATTTTCATTACCATTTCCATTACAAATTTTGTAAAAATTTTCTTTTCTAATATTTGTTTAAGTTGGCGGCTATACAGACATAAGTTCGATCAGCAGCACATCAGCGAAAATCATCAATATTTACGATGAAACGTCGGTGGACAGTGGTACCCAAATCCGTAAGTTGCATAAATACAAGTTTCTTTCTTTAAATTCTTGGCTAAACATGTAATTTTACAGAAAATGAAACTGTACAATTGGGCGATGTGCTGGAAAAACTGGAGTTTGAGCTGAGAAAAAATAGCAGCCAAAGTATTGAACAGCAGCAAGCGCGTAAGTGGAGAAGCCCGAAATTATTTAAAATTGATTTTGTATATTACTAATTTGTTTTAGAAAATGACTGCATTAACGGCACTGCGCATCCACCGTTGAGTGTTTGTGTCAAGTTGCTAAATTCAGTTAGCCAGACTAGTGCAGCTACAGACAAGAAAAGCGGGCTGTTTAGAGAAATACTGCGCCTCTTGACTGAAGTGCTTCATCCGGACCCCGATGGCGATGGCGGACACAGTAAGTGTGAAAGTGAGAAGAGAATTTTAGAAATATTATTCTAATATCGGCGCGCGATCTATCTTCTTCTTATCATAGATGCTGAAAGCGAAGCTGCGGATTTGCTAAATCAACTAAACGCCATGACTACGCTCAGTCCGGAAGTCACTACTGCGGCGAGCATTGCTGAAACGGTTACTGAAGCTGGTAAGTAAATATAAAACAAATTAAGTATGCACCTAAAAAATATTTGAATTTCGTTTATTCAGCTTTCCGAAACTTATATTCAATTTCTTCTTTCTCTTTCGAAAATTACCTTATATTTTAGTCACCGCACAATCCGACCTCGCTAACGCCGATCCTCAAGTGAAAGTTTGTCTCAATATACTATTGGAGGAAATACTAGCTATCCTGGCAATGTACCACAATCATAACAATAGCGAACAATTCAGTGAGTATCGTAGCTTTGGGGGCCGTAATAAAGGCTGATTATAATATTTCCACCGCAATTACAGCTTCAACGCCCACTATGCCAGTTGTGACTGAAAGTCCATTCCAATCGTCAGCTTCGAGTTCTATCGCGGCATCTCTTGCAACTTTGCAAGCCACCACTTTTGAACAAACCTCCCCTCCTCCTTCCCCGGCTACTTTGCTACCAACAACTTTAACACAAACCCAGTCCCCGACCGCATCCTCAACCACTGCACAACCAGATACCGCTCCAACAACTTATTCTACTTCAGCACCCTCTCAATCAACAACACCGGCATCACCTCAACCACCTACTTCATCTTACACTTTCCCAGCACCACCACCGTTGTCACAGATCTCATCTTCTACACCACAGTCGACTAATTCAGAACCGACTCCGCCTACGGCAATTTTACAACCAACTACTTTAGCACCATCTACATCAGAAGAAAGTCTTCCTTCAACTACGCCAGCACCATGCGAGGAAACGACTCTTGCCACAATAGTGCCAACTACTGTAGATGCAACAAACCCCTCTACAAATCCTCCAACATTAGCATCAACTTTGCAGCCAACAACACCGGAATCAGCTGGACCTCCTTTTTCTCAATCCTCCTTGCCGTCAACCCAGTTCTCGTCACCTGTATCAGAGCCAACAACACTTGGATCAACGCAACCCCCTACACAGCCCTCGACAACACTTCCAACTTCGCCATCTAACTCACAAACAACCACTTCACAGGAAACCCTTCCTCCTGCCTTCCCATCTACTGCACCATCCACAGTAGAGCCAACCCAACCTCTAATTTCCCCATCTACTTCGACGCCACTTCCAACTTCAACGTCCATCCCGGAAACTAGTTTAGCAGAACTAGTCACCTCTCCTACACTTCCTCCAACTGAGCCCTTTACTTCACAAACAACTGAATTAGAATCAAACGAGCCCTCGACTTCGGTTCCAACTTCCGAAACAAGTCCTTCAGAATCCATGACGTCCACTAACCTTCCGCCGTTTACGATGGAAATAAGCACATCAGTATCAGCTACGTCACCTTCCATTGCACCAATTGAATCCACAACTTTAGTACCAAGTACTTCGAAATCAACGCAATCTCCCACTTCTGAATCCACTTCGCAATCAGAAGCAAGTACTTTAAGGCCGGTACCAGCGCCTACAATTCCTCACACTGAGCTCTCCCCTTCACAATCAACCACATTGCAATCAACACTACCTTCGACTGCGGTTCCATGTTTGGAAATAAGCACCACAGACCGAACTAACTTGCCATCACTTCCTCCGATTTCGACGTCTACTACAGAAAAAAGTACTTCTCAAAATTCAGCCGTGACTTTCCCAGTTGTGATAACAACTGCGCCACCACCTTTGACTCCGACTGTAATTCCAACTTTACCACCAACCATTCAACCAAGCTATCCACCAACATTGCCACCTACCAGCCAACCGACTAGTCCATCCACTATCCCACCAACTTCTTCGCCAGCATTTACTATTTCATCATCATTACCTCCGGCACCGGCGCCAACACCGGCCCCATATATTCCACCTAGCCATGCACAAACATTGCCACCTACCGGTCAACCAACCAGTCCATCCACTATCCCACCAACTTCTACGTCAACGTTTACTATTTCATCGTCATTACCTCCGGCACCAGCGCCAACACCGGCTCCATATATTCCACCTGGCTATCCTCCAACAATGCCACCTACCGGTCAACCAACCAGTCCATCCACTATCCCACCAACTTCTACGCCACCATTTACTACTTCACCGTCATTGCCTCCGGCACCAGCGCCAACACCGGCTCCATATATTCCATCTAGCAATCCTCCAACATTGCCACCTACCAGTCAACCAACCAGTCCATCCACTACTCCACCAACTTCTACGCCAACATTTACTATTTCATCATCATTACCTCCGGCACCAGCACCAACACCGGCTCCATATATTCCACCTAGCAATCCTCCAACATTGCCACCTACCAGTCAACCAACCAGTCCATCCACTACTCCACCAACTTCTACGCCAACATTTACTATTTCATCATCATTACCTCCGGCACCAGCGCCAATACCGGCTCCATATATTCCACCTAGCCAGCCACAAACATTGCCACCTACCGGCCAACAAACCAGTCCATCCACTATCCCACCAACGTCTACGCCAACATTTACTACTTCACCGTCATTGCCTCCAACGCAAACACTGGCTCCATATCTCCCACCAAAACCATGCTCCCTACCAACATCTTCGTCATTTTACTCCAACAACCCATATCCGGCATATATTCCAAATTATCCCCCTATTCTACTACTTCCTTATCCCGTTGTACCATTTCCTATTGCCCCGCCTAGTCCATGTGCCGAAGCATCCGATCAAGCGAAATCGGTTTCGGTTGATAGTAAGTCACCAATTTTCCAACGCGCTGTGCCAATCGAGCAAATAATCTGTCAACGGAATGTGCTTGGAGCTTATTCTGCAGGACTATGAGCAAGTCTCACATTCGAGCTCTCCTTGATATTCGTTGTCATTTATAATATTTTTAGTTTTAGTAATTGAACGATAATTAATTGTAAAGAAACATTTTAAAAAATTATTTAAGGTAAAGGTCCTATTTTTAATTTTCAATAAAAACCAAATCTACTCTGATCCATTGTATCCTTTATTTTCTTGTTTTTGAGGCTAAAATATCTGATGAAAGATGTGGTGTAGTGATTCGATTCTGATATAAAAGTCCACCTAAGACTTAACTGCCATGGATGAGTAAATGCTGGCCTTGTAGTAGTATATCTACGGTGACCAGATTTCCGTGGCCAAAATCGAGACATTTATAAAGCATCGAAGCCAAACACACAATTTTGTTTTTTAGAATAAAAAGACATAACATCTTTTAATACAAAAAGCTGTACAACAACAACAAACAACAAAACAAAGAGAAAAAAGCTTGAAAAATTATGCAAAAACTTACACGCACAATTTATACGGTGGAAAGAATTTAAATTGGGAAAAAACGTTTTAGCAAATTTTTTCTACTTTGCTTTGTTTAAAAAATCTTTATTATTTTTTTATGAAAATATAACTTACTATCTATAAAAAAAAACATGTAAAGCAAAAGTTCAAACTTTGTAGAACATTTATAAACAAGTAACTTTGAGCAAACAAACCGACTTCAATTTTTATATTAAAAAAAAATTTATATACAGTGAAACCTCCCTTGGGCGGACACTCACCGTCAGTCATTTTTTGTCCGCCCAAGAGAGGTGTCCGCTTAATGGAGGGGAAGCCTATTTTAGAACTTTTTAATGTTTTAATTAATTGAATAGTCACTATTTCTTATTTGAATAAAAGATATTGATATTACATCGTTCAAACAAAAATGTGCATGTATTTTTTCAAAAGTGCACATTTCATTTATGTGCGTAAGTACATATTCAGTAATAACAAAATAAAAATAAATATTACATTTTAGTCCATAAACTACATAAAATCATAGATTCATTACATAAAAAACTGGGAAATTGTCGATTGACGGAAGTTTTATTTTTTAATTTTTTTCAGTGTCAGTACCTTTTTCATCAACAGTTTTCATGTTTTTATCAGTCTCCAAGGGTTTCTGACAATTCAAATAACGAACCTAAACCACTGCGCAAACCAAACTAAATATGTGCATAACAATCACATTTTGTGCGGGAAGTCCCCTTTTTCCATTTACTAGTCCGCCTATGAGGAGTTCGCGTCCGCTCAACGGAGGTTTTTGTTTGATTTGTTATGAAAAGAAATCTTAATGTCCGTTGATAAGAGGTTCGCGTCCGCCCAATAGAGTTTTTGTGTAAATTTTATGCAAAATAACTGTCCGCGTCCGGCCAAGAGAGTGTCCGCTTAAGAGAGAGTAATTTGTTCCGAAATTTATACTTAAAACTTAGTATAGGGAAAAATGTCCGCCCAAGGGAGGTGTCCGTCTAATAGAGGTGTCCGTTAGGAGAGGTTTTACTGTATTTACATATATAGCTCATGATCCACTGATCGGATCTTAACCAGATTGGTATGGGACCACCTCTGAGACACTACCTTTCCGATGCCAAAAGAATTATCGAAATCGGTTGACGTGGTCCAAANGACGAACTGATAACCTCCTCCTTGTTTGGAAGTCGGTTAAAAATAAAAATAAAAAAGAAATAAAAAAAAAAATATTCCGACGAATTGATAACCTCCTTTTTTTTGGAAGTCGTTTAATAAAAATAAAAATATTCCGACGAACTGATAACCTCCTCCTTTTTTTGGAAGTCGGTTAAAAATTCGGCGAATTTTACCAAATGTTGATCAAAATTTTAAACATATCAAGCAGATTGTATAGAATAAAGTGCAAGTTTGAAGTAGCTTGGAATTATTATTGATTTTTGGCAATTTTTTATTCACGTATTTTCTTTCATACAAAGTACGTTTATACTTTTTTTCTATGCAGAAAATGAACCTCCCACAAAAAAAAAAAANGTTTAATAAAAATAAAAATATTCCGACGAACTGATAACCTCCTCCTTTTTTTGGAAGTCGGTTAAAAATTCGGCGAATTTTACCAAATGTTGATCAAAATTTTAAACATATCAAGCAGATTGTATAGAATAAAGTGCAAGTTTGAAGTAGCTTGGAATTATTATTGATTTTTGGCAATTTTTTATTCACGTATTTTCTTTCATACAAAGTACGTTTATACTTTTTTTCTATGCAGAAAATGAACCTCCCACAAAAAAAAAAAAAATTACCAAAAATCAGCTACTTAAAATTTGTACTTTGAATTGAATGGGCTATACTGCACTGCATACTTAGAATGTTTCTAAGAAATCTAATTGAAAAGCTCAAAACTTTGATGATACTTTGTCAAATTTTGCTAATTTTAAGTTTGACTTACATGGTCTTTGATAGATATTAGCTACACTTTCATTAAAAAATAATAAACATTAACTATTCGGAGGGGAATAGCACAAGAATACTAAAATGTCTCTTCTCTATATATGCTTTCACCACAGTATCTACAGCTTATATTTTCATATCCACGATTATTTTGATGGAATTCATTTTATTTTTTATAATTTCACTAGATTCAAGCTAGAATCGTTTCATAAAAAAAGCTTTACAAATAACTATAAAAACCTTAAAGCAATTGAGACAGGACACTTATACGTCTCGACTTAAAAAAAAATATTCATCGGGACAATTTTCTCAAAATCGGTACTGTCCCGCCCGAATCGGTACGAATGGCCACCCCAAGTATATCGCTTGTTACAAGAATTTCCTATTGAGTTGCAAAGTTAAAATTAACATCAGTGCTAAAGTTAAGTCCGGTTAGAATTTTTAATTGCGGATAGAAGATATTGAAAATAGTTAAGCTCTACAATATAATCCGTATTGTTGAAGGAAAAAACCTTGATTATTATTTAGGCACCCATAAAAAGCAAAGATAAAATTTAAATGAATTTTGGGGTCTGAAAGTTCCCGAATAATGCGGAAGAATGACGAAAAAATCCTTAAGAAGTACCAAAGTACACAAAAATACAAAATACACAAAAATGCCAAAAGCGCCCCGAAACAGCCGCGAAAACCTGAAAACAGTCTTAAAAAATATCGAAAAAATTTCCAAATATTCAGTGAATTAATAACCAAGTATCCCGAATAAATACAGAAAAAAGCAGAAAGATCCGGAAAACTTTCCCAGAATCCCAAAAAAAGACTCGATATGGTAAAAGTTCCGAAAGATCTCGAAACTATTTAAAAACGTCTAAAAAAAAAATTACAAAAAATGAGTACCGAAAACCACGAACCTTCCCGAATAAATACCGAAAAAGCAGAGAAATCCCCAGGCTGTCGACGAAATCCCGAAAGGATAAAAGTTATTAAAGGTCCCGAAAAAATTTCAAAAGTTCCGAAAAAATTTCAAATACGAGGAATCACCAAAAATCCTGGGCCGTCCTAAATTAATTTCGTGAGGTCAGAAAAAAATGTCGATAGGTTAAAAACAAATCCAGAAAAAATTTTGAAATATCCTAAAAGATCTCAGAAGGGTCCCGAAACAATTTCATAAATTTTAAATGAAAGCAAAACTGAAATTTTTCACAAAAATTAATTCAAGTCGTGAAAGATCAGAAAAAATTTAATTCTATACTATGACTAGATTATCACGGCAGCTTCGAAAAATCGGTGCCACAGTTCTTTCGCTATGCCCTTTTGATTTCAAAATCTTAATATAACTTTTATTGAATAATAAAACTGGTAATAATAAATAGTAATACAATTGTAAAAATTGTAAAATTGCAATGTACTTAGATACGAATTCTTTCATTTAAATTTTTGAGAGAATTCCATGTCCATAACAGTTTCTACAGCACTTACTACAACATTTTTAGCCGCACATCGCAAAAGTTATCATTTGTATCAGAGTCTTCAGTGGTATGTTGTGCTTTGGTGTAGAAAATTTAATTTATGTTAATAAAAAAAAACTTGTAATTTCAAACCACCTACCCTCGGAAGGATTAACTGAAGCAGATTCCCTGTTAATCGCGTTCGTAGACAAAGCTGATTTGGTAGCTTCCAAAGTGGGATGGCGAGATTTTTCTAAAAATAGGAAATAGCTTCCATTAAAAGCAGAAAATTTAGACAAGACAAATAAACTTAAAAAATATAAAATTAGTTTATTTATGAACTAGAAAAACCATTATGTCGAGCCCTAACCGCCAAAATAACGTAAGCGACATTTCTTTCAAAATTTTCTTTTTGATGCAGAAGTGCTTCTAGATGCTCTAGGAATATTTCTGCATCAAAAAGAAAATTTTAAAAATAATGACGCTTAAGTTATTTTGGCGGTTAAGGCTCGATGTATTTCAAAATTTTCTTCTTGATGCAGAAATCCATCTAGATGCTCTAAAAACGTTTCTCCATGAAAAATAAAATTTTGAAAAAAATGTCGCTTACGTTATTTTGGCGGTTAGGGCTCGATATAGTTAACTATATGAAGAAGAATTTTCACTTCAGTCGCTCGTGGGGTCTCCACCCAACATATATTAATTGCCAGAAATAAAATTAAACATAAATGCCACAAATTACCTAAAAGAACATCACAAGGCATTAACATATCACTCGCAATTTTTGACATTTGCACTTTTAGCGTATGGATATCAACTTACACAAATTACATTTATACAATTTACGCGCCTTAACAACACTTTCTACTAGTCATTTATGTACAGCTCCTTCAGTGGCAACAAAGGTGTTAATGGGAAAAGCACTTTGACTGATTGATTTATGTATGTTGGCAGAAGTCATGTCAGCTGTCAACCGCACGTCACGCATTCAAGCAATTTGTAGGCAGCAGGGTGTTTGATGTGGAAATGCTGTCGCTCCGTTAGCTTCTTATAGGATACGTCGCTTTGCATGCGTCCTTTAATATTCGTTAACCACATTCGTTTTCTGACACTTGTTGATGGAAGGAAATTGTAGAAATTAT